CTATCCATTAAGTTCAGCAGTGCTGTTAGGAAAATAGCAAGCCTTGTTTCAGGTTTTCACTGAGATGTAGAAAACACCGGTGCTGTGAGCTGAAGACTCACTCTGTGTGTGAGTAGTTTATTAAATCTTTGCTGCAGGCTCTGTAGCTTCTTTAGCCTACTGTGCATAAAAGATGAAATTGGTCAGATTTTTTTTTTTGACGAATAAGCTTAAGTTTTTAATTAGAATTAAACTAATTAATTGTTGCCTATACAGTACTGCTACAGTTCTTTTTCTTTAGGCACTTCGTGGCTACTCTGATTCTGCTTGTAAAAAGCAATGCACTAGCAGCAGATTCCAGCGGACATAATTGACTCTTGTGTGAAGTTTCTTCATAGAACACTTGGAAATAGTTAAAGTTGATCTACTATATTTAGAAAAGGGGCAGAGCCACAACAGGTACAAATTAGCATATTTTATTTAAAGCCACTGGAATTACAGAGATTTTGGCCAGCTAAACATATGACCTCACATGTAAATGTTGAAAGACTGAGTAGTAATGGCAGGTTTTTGCATCAGAGAATATAATTTCCCTTCTACTACTTGTAACAAGTTGTGAAAAAATACATTCCTGTGAATTAGGAAACATTTACCTTATTTCAAAGGGATATCCTTTGTGAGTTATAGCTCAAAATGTGTAGTGTATCTTTACCAATATATGATAGTGTCTTTCCAAGAAATCTCATGTATGATTCTTCTGGAAGTTACATTAAAGCGTGTCTCATATAAAGATGTCATGGAACAGCAGAGATCATCAGAAGTTATAACGCTAGCTTTATGTCAGCAATTAACTAAAACACAGTAGTTTTGAAGTGGATAATCCACCCTTTAATGTAAGACAGTTAAACACCATTAATATAAGTATTTGTTAAATTTTACTAAACTCATGATTATTTTTACATAGGCATCAATCTTACTTCCATGGGAATTAAAGCAAAAAGAAATCCTAACAAATCTATTAAAAAGAGGAATGGATTCCCAACCTGTAATCTGCACTTCCATGGGTTTGAACTGCTAACCGAATAGTGTATCAACACATTAACAAAACCTTTATCTAATGGGCTTTACTGTGTCTTCTGGACAAGGTTCAGAAAAGAAGATGGGAAAAAAGTATTTCCCTAATGCATAAGTGATTTCTCAGCGGAGATATCCTCTGGGACTGACTGAGGAGTATTTATACTATACTATTTCACAATATTTCCAGTATAGAAATAAAGCCTTTAGTGCTAAAGGGTTGTAAAAGAGGCTATGCTAACTAAATAGGGCATCATTTCTTTAGTTCTTTTTCCCCTGGTTGGTGAAGCCAGTTCTACCTGCAGTAGGCATCTCTGCCCACAGAGGTTACACTTGATCCATGCCCAGATGTTATTGCAAAGAACTTTGAGATGATGTGCACTAGCAAAGAGCTGGATAATCCAATCCTGAACATTCAGGTTGTGCGCTTAAATTACACCTCCCCAGCGAGCACTCAAAAGAGCTATATAAACATTACAAATCAAGTAACAACTTCTTTAATGCAGAATTAGTGTGTGTATATTTTATAGTGAGAAAGATAAGAAACGTGAGTTAAAACCATAGTAAAAACCTCACTGGCAGAATGAGGTTGGTATGTAACTGCAGAGCAAGACACCAGTTCATAGATCTTTGCAGATTTTCACTAAAAAAATCTAAAAACATGACTCACTTTTGTGCTCTTACCCCCACAAATATTCCTGTAGTCCAAATTAATGCATTTTCTGATTTAAATTAATAAATGCTTATTAGCATGTAGTGATTTCTGCCCTCTATCTGCTTTATGAAGATGCATTCCTAGTAATCTGACATATACAATGAGCCCCCCTTAATGTTAGGTACACTCATGGTTATATATATATAAGTAATTACAATCATAGCTACCTCATGCAGGCTTAGCTGGTAAACTGAGCAGGGGTTGGACCAGATGACCTCCAAAAGCACCTTCTAACTTGAATTAGTCTACAGCTTGGGGTTCTGACCCTCCTAAGCCCTCTCTTTTCCAAACAGGAAAACTGGATTTATGCCAAGCAGCCTTGCACACATCTTGCAATAGCACTAAATGTCAGAAGTGGAAATATCTCAAACTGTCAGTATCTGAAACATTAACTTACAAAAAACTGTACTGTAATCTGAAAATAGGATGCATACCTGTACTACTAGATTTGAAAACTTCTAGCAGCATAACAATAAAACCAGATTTCAATATGCATTTGAGTATAATCTGGGCTTTATCAGATTTGTTCTGGACATTAAAAGCACTTGCAAAATTTAGGCCATATAATCAGAAGAACTGATCTGAGAGCCTTAAGGAGATGAAAAGGGCTTTGTCACTGTAATTTTCATTAGTATTAATGGCATTGCACCGCTAAAGCCCTGCTCATCTGGATAGAGAAGTGCCTCTGATTGTTCAGGCTGGTATGCAGTTTTATACAGACATTTAGACAATTGGATACCCATGCTAACTTATGATCCACTTGGAATTCAGATAAAAGCTGGAATTCAGTGGCCTTTTTCCTCATCACATTGGCTATGTTCCCTCTCCTCTCTCTCACACTGATCTCATAAAGGATTTGCTGGTTTTTGAGATTTGGAGTGCAAAAATGGCTTGAAACGGCAGATGAGCAGACAAATAGCTATTTCTTTCCTACAAATAATTAGCAAAAGAAAATGGAAGTTTTAGTGCCTGTGGGCTGCTGTTCAATAAGGTTGTTCTAGATTTGAGACAAGTCCTAGACAAACATGCTTTTTCATCTTTTAATCTTCCACTGTCCGTTACACCAGGCTCTACTAAGTAGCTGTCTGGCTTTTGAAGCTTTCTCATCACATTAATATTCAGGAACACATTGCCTTTGTGAAAGAATGTATTTGATTTACTTGTTCTTTTCCATTCAGAAAAATTATTCTTTTTGGAGAATAGATGTTTAATTGGTTATAAAACAGGAGTATGGCTTTTTATACATAAAGTTAGTTTTTTCTTTCATTCACTGACTGAAAACATAATCCAGTGCCTTCTGTTCACAAAGACTTTATTTAGAAGGATTTCCTTTCCTCCAGGAGGGATAACCTTGCTTCAGTTATGTTCCTTTGAATTACGATTAGAACTTTGAACTCCAGACAGCTGGATAAACAAATTTCCCTACCAATTTAATTATCCTGGCCTGCTTGTCAGTACCAGCAGAATACTATGTAGCACATTGCCAATTAAAACTCCGCTTTTGATTGCCAGTAAAGCACTACAGATTCAGGCCTGTGCAGCCAGAGGGAGGAGGTTAGGTTGCCTATTCTTGATCTGAGAAGCTGAAGCTCCCAGCTGCATATCGCTGGCATGGGTGGGTGAGGTGGTGCCTGGAGGCTGTAGGCAGCAGCATTCAGTATGTGTACTGAAAGCATAGATAGCCTAGCTTCACTAGCACCTTCCCAGCTCAACTCCATGCAATACAATGCAAGACTGGCTCTCTCATGCATACTATGCATTCCTGACTGCTACAGCCATATGCGCAGTCTCAAGCTGCTTCGAATTTCACTGTACCTTCAGCACCTCCTGGGAAGCTGAGTCTTATACAGAGAGGCACAGACGTGCTGTTAGGCTGTGTCTTTCTTCCCGTAATGGGGAAGAGAGATTCTAAAGCCTCTTTCATAGTTAAGTTGTATTTGTGCAGTTGGCTTACAGCTCTCAAATGCGCACCATTTCAGCCTTCATGCCTTCAGGCCATCTGCTCTAGGTAGCTATAAGCAGGATGCAGCAGGGTAGCACTGTAAGGAGAGGTGGGGAAGACCTCAGCCGAGCAGAGATCCATGTGAACAAAATGGCTCTCTGAGACTCTGGGACCAGTTATCCCTTCACTATTCCACGCATGACCATGGTCAGCCGTGTCTGCTTTCAACCTTGTGTGGCAAGCACGAGTTCCAGCCCCCATGACAATTGGCTTCTCTTTGTTTTCTCTCAATTTCATATAGATTCTGACTGAAACAGGAAAATACCTAAATTTTGTTCTTTTGACCCAAACTCCACCCATCAGTTTAAGACATTTGTAGTATCATTAATATTTTTCATATCCAACAGTGTTCAAACTTCGTCACAGAAGCAGGTCAGGAAAAGAAGGGCACTGGTATATTATGCAAAAAACTTACAGTTGCCTAGCACCATTCAGCTGATTACCACTGACATTCTGAAATGAAAATATCTGATGATGTCATATTCTAAAGTAGTTTCTATTTTCTCCTCCAGAACTGAAGGCACAGATTTTAAGAAAAGAAAACATCCATTAAGGCTAGTCTACGTATTTCTGATTCCTAACTTGCTCTTTTTCCTGTGCTAAGCAGGTTGAATTACACTAGATCTGCTGTCATACTGCTCAGTAGCAGAAAAAAAACACCCGGGTAGACAGTGAAAATGAAAACCATTGGCAAAAAATTGTGCTGAACTTTCCAAATGCACAATAAACTCAAGTTCATCAGAGTGAAGAAAAGCTGTGTGACAGTTCGTTGCGATGAATCTAATTATTGGTCTTGTCAGTAATGTGTTGCATCAAATCATTCTCTCAAAGAGAAGTAATGCAACAACATTGTGTACATACTAAGTCATATTTTGCTGGAGAGTTGCATAAGCAAAGTGCCAATTAGATTTGTTTCATAACAAGTCCCACCTGAGTCAGTGCGAAAAAAAATAGGCATACAAAAGGTGATAAACACTGATGTTCCTTCAAATAGACAGAATATGATCTGAACTGTACTAAAAGGAAATGTTGCTAAAGTGAACTGTAACCTCAGCTGTTATGTGACATCTTTACTGTGAGTCTGTCTCCTTTTCTAATGCAGGCAATCCTTCAATGTTTTATGTGGTCCTATTAAAACCTGATACATGTGTATAGTGTCTCCAAAGAGAGTTGTGTACAAATTCATACTTTTCAAGGCTTCCCATGTCTTCATTTTTATTTCTTTAACAGTTCCACCCAAAAGGGAGATGATGATTATGAAGATTACACTTCAAATAAGACTTGGGTTTTGACTCCCAAGGTCCATGAAAGTGATGTCACTCTTATTTTAAATGGCTTGCTGGAAGGATATGACAACAAGTTGAGACCTGACATAGGAGGTATGTTTCGTTTCTTTTAGACCACTTTCAAATAATCAGTGAAGAGAAAGAAATTTCATCCCATATTATGCTATGCAGGAAGCAGAATCCATTCACAGCAGTTATGAAAACAAATTACAATGTGATAAGACATTATAGGCATGAAAAGTAGTCATAATTTTGGAAGTTGCTATAAATTAATATTGCTAAACCTATTCTGAGACCTTTAATAAGACTGTTGTGATTTGCTGAATCAGGCTGCTTGTAACAATGCACCTTCATAGAAGTTCAGAATTAAACTTCTGGGGAAAGAAAATGCAAGTTTTTATCTTCTTTGTATATCTAACGATGGTGTTACAAAATCACAAATAATATATGGAAAGGAAGGCTGAAATGAGGATAACACAGCCTGATCCTTGCATGATGTGATGGACACAGACATAGCCTCTAAAACCAGCAGGTCTGCACTGTCTGATGCAGCATGAGCCCTTACCTGCACAGCAGGGCAAGAAGTGACTGTGGAATGGGGCATGAAGAGGTTCACAAAAGAAAACTGCTATCAAGTAAGGCCAACCTTCCTAGATTTTCCCCACAGCCAATATAAGTATATAGTCCAACCATGGACTCTTAACGGAGGTGGTGTTTGACAGAATCAGCTTTTGCAGGAATCTTCCTCTCCACTGATTACTGAGGGAGCTCAAAGTAATAAATCTCCCTGAGATGCTGCAAGTCAGCTTGAGAAGGCCCCATGTGTGCACAGAAAAGGCAGAAAATACCTCTGTAGAAAAGGATAAAGCAGTAATAAGATTATACAAAAACGCAATGGGAATTCACGGATGAAGCAGGCAGAGGAAAGCAAGGGAAGCAGAGAGCAACAAGGTCAATGAGGGAAGCAGTTTCTAGCAAATTTATAGAGGCTTATTAACTAAGGAACTTTTCACAGTGAGGGATAACATGAATATTTAACCTTCAATGTATGCATATAGTGTACATTAGCAGAGGAACTTGTCTTATTTCCCCATCCAAGATTTTAGAGAGTAGAAAGGAATTAAGCATTCATAAAAGAATCTGGGAAAAAACAATCATGTTTATGTCAAGGTGTATAAGAATAATAAAGTTACAATAGAGTAATTTCAATATAAATTAATCTAACGCCTGTTTCAGAGTCCTAAGTATTATTTTTGCTTTGGGCTCATGAAATTGTTGCTTACCTACAGCCATCTCTGCAGGCACCAGCAGTTATGTTGCATGTGGAATTGTAATGTAAAACAAGTGATGCACGACATTCAAAGAAAAACAAGTTTGCTTATATTGATGCTGCTTTGTCAGTGGTGGTGGTGTGACCTGACACAGAATATACATACTCTCAGTCAGATACACTCAAAAGTAACAACACTGGTTTCAGCATTTGTTCTTTCAGCATAAATGAATTTGTTTACATAGAATAAACCATCTAAGAATTTGTCTCAAAGTGTCTCGAACCAATTTCAAACTGGAGACATCACTGTAAATTTATATTTATTGTATATGCACATTTAAATGTGAGGTGATATACAAGAGAGATACTATAGTAAATTTCTGCTTGTGCTTGGCTTTCATATAGTTGATTTTGACCTTCACTCATGTTACTGATTCTTGTTGTTTCTCTTACAGTTAAACCGACAGTAATTCACACTGACATGTACGTCAATAGCATTGGGCCAGTGAATGCTATCAATATGGTAGGTAAATGATTGCCAGTTTTCCTACAATGTTCACTTTGTTACAAAGCCTCCATCATTTTTGACATTACAAAGCTTCCATTAGTTTTAATGTTGTGCTATACCTATATTATTTTTAAAATCTCATTATTACTATGGATGTGAGGACTATGAGCTATGAATCTCTACAAGACAAGGAAACTAAGCTCTGTGCTGAAAAAAATGTAATAATAATAGTTCTAACATATCCTCACACTTTTATGTGACTGTTTAACTCCTGTAAAACTGAGCTTCCAGGTTGCTACAAAATAAGGAAAACCATTCACCAGAGGTATTAGCACTCCCAAAATAAAAAGAAAAAATCACCAAGAGATAAAAAGAAAAGTCTAGATTGTCTCCCCTCTCTTTTTCCAAAGTTCCAACAGAAAATGTAATTATATCTTAGTACAGGTGAGGGAAACTGGTCTAGCCTTAGCACAAAGTCTGCTTCATTCTTGTAGGGTTTATGTGTAGAAATAAATCTCAAGATTGCTCTTTTCCATTCTACAATTACATTTGCAGCTTTGGCTGCCAGGAAGCGTGAGACTTGACCACTTCTGATATTAACTGGGGGACACAGGCAATGAAGGCAGCCAAGCCAGCTCAGAGTTTTCCTTCCTAGACCCAAGAGAATAATAATTGTCACTGACCTGATCAGGCATGAGTTGAGGTGTGGGGACACAGAATTAGAAAGGTGCATGTACTGCCCGATTACATCTTAGTTTCATCTGTCAGTAGGAAAATAACAGAATGACTTGATTTTAAACAATAATCTTTGGTAAACCATGCCCTCAAAAACTGACCAAAAAATATTACCTAGTTCATATTTTTTTCATATGAAATTAAGGAAAGCATATCAGGAGTTATGTGAAATGCTGAGTGCTATGTTTTCATCAGTATTTCTGGTTAACACAACAGGAATATACAATTGATATATTTTTCGCCCAAACGTGGTATGACAGACGTCTGAAGTTCAACAGCACCATAAAAGTGCTCAGATTAAACAGCAACATGGTTGGGAAGATCTGGATACCGGATACATTTTTCCGAAATTCCAAGAAAGCTGATGCTCACTGGATAACAACTCCTAATAGGATGCTCAGGATTTGGAACGATGGCAGAGTGCTGTACACATTGAGGTATTTATACCTGACTTTCATTTCAGTTTCTCTAAAGAAAGTCAGAGAGAAAGGTCCTGTGAATTTGGTCATTTGACATTAACCCTGGGTTTTTTCATATTTACTTATACAAACAATCCTGAAAAAGGGAAATATTTAGAAGATATTATTGGCATGCAATTCATTTTATATTGGTAAAGAGTTTTATTTCTTCCTATAGATTGTACTGTCTTGCTCCACAATAGTCACACTCCTATTCTAAAATGAATATAAGCATTCTTAGAGCAATTCATCTTCTTTTTCAGGTATGTTTTATTGTTTGCCACTAGACTGATCCATATTGCCTTTTATCTTTTTAGGGGGCTAAACCAATGAATTCAAAATATACTTGACTTAGGTAGCCAGTATAAAAGGAGGTATTATATACATCAAAAGCCTCTTATTCTGAATTAATTACAATTTAGCTAGATGAAGATCCACCCTGCAAAAGCATTTAATTCCTCAATTATCTTATGAATAAGGATTATCATTTCAGCATTGGTCATTTAAGGTTTCATCCAAAACCTTCAGATATGCCCTGTCCCACTAAGATCTTCATGAATCTGAACTAGATATGCTCATGTCACGTGTATAGCCTTTCTTTTGACACAGACTGCCTTTAAAAACCACCTTTTCAATAAAGAAGTTTTGATAAGCCTACAGTTAAGTGTAACATACACAATATATAACAACTCAAATATCATATTCCCAATGACCATAAGATACATCCTAAATGTGAAAATCCTAAGTGAGTTTTTCACTTCTTCTGACATGTAATACAGTATTTAGAACTATGTAAAACATAGATAAGGACAACATTTGTTCAAGAGAATTGATAATTCAAAAATCACAGTACAGAATTGAAGCTTTGAGACATAAGGCCATCTGACTTTCCAACTGCATTTTTTTCACTGTTTTTTCCATTTTTGCTGTATTGGGTGCCAAGAATAAAGTTTTGAAGAAAAGTACACTCATCATAATTATAATGAATAGATCTGAAGCTTTGGTTAAGACAACCTTTTAATGCTGTAACTGTCCGAATTACGAAAAGGAGTTTTATTTCATAGTTATTTTAGATTCATTACACATTGCATCTCCAGAAGAGATGAGAACTATTGGAGTTGAAAACCAGTGCAAATCAAAGTCAGTCTGATAAAGAAGATCCTACGTCAGCTTTTGATATGTTAAATATGGACTTAGCTACACTACAGTTTCTTTTGACTTCATTACCTTTCTCTTCAACTCCCTCAATTTCTCTCATTAGAAAGAGATATATCTGATGGAAACAGTTATCTGTTATTAATGTATAATTAGTTCTAGTGAGTTGGGACAAACACCAGTAAGGTTTCAACCTGAATTAGTCCAGAAATAAAATTTGATAGTATCACCAGAGATCTAGGATTCTGCCCTGGATAGAAAAGGGCTCTGGAAGATTTGATTTTTTCAGTCACTTCCCCCCAAGCTCAAAAACAGTCCATTCTGACCAGAATGAAGCAAAGTTAGTAAATGTGAAAAGAATACATAGAGTGGAAGCAGGGACAGGTGACCCAGGAAGAAAACAGAGATGCTGTCCAAGCACTGAGGGACAGGGTTAGAGAAGCCAAAGTCCATCTAGAGTCAAATCTGACCCGGGAATCCTGGTGGACGTTCACCATGAGCTAACAAAGTTGAGGGTTTTTTTTTCCTTTGCCTTTTTTCCTCTCTCATCCCACCTCCTCTATCCTTTCCAAAGTGCAAGTGCCATGCAGCTCATGGCAGGGCTGGAGCTATGTATAGTCTAGCAACAATTAAGGGAGTGAATGCAAAATGGAAGAGTTTTTAGGGGGCTCATCAGGGATACAATCTCATCTGATTTTGGATTTCTAGAAGTACATGTCTCTATCTGATCTATAGCATCTATACCACCTGAGTTATGGAGGCGTTCCTGATATTCAGTGGAGAGAAACACCTTTTGGTACATTCATCTTCTCATTTAAATATCTTATTTTGGAATGAAATTAAGTACATCCTCAGAGCACCTTTCCACTAGCTATCAGTGTAGTCTAGATGGCTGGCTTGGATGCAGATGTCTAAATTTGGACTCTATCCATCATTTCTAAAATAGAATTTTTGTCATGTAAAATACATTTCCCTGCTGCATTATGGCACGTTGTGACACAGAGATTTGTCACTGTTCGTGAGATGACCTGTATATTCACTTATGGATTTGCTAGTCATGAGTAATGCTGGTATTTGAGATGCTTAGGAACAGAACTTTAATACCTTATTCTAATACACAGTTCAGAAAGTAGATGTTCGGGGCCTATGTAACAAAAAACAAACACTGCTTATCAGTAAGCGTGATGTCTTCCTGTGCTTGGAATATCCACATCAATACATACCTATCAATAGTTTACTGTTGCTTTATATATATATAAAAATATATATTTGCATCTTGTTTTGCTTGCCATGTGTAGCTTTCAGGACAAACTTCTCCAGTGCATTCTGTATATCCTGATCTCTTTCTCCTCAGGCTGACAATTGATGCTGAGTGTCAGCTACAGTTACACAACTTCCCAATGGATGCCCATTCCTGCCCCCTGGAATTTTCAAGCTGTAAGTAACATGCTTAGAAATACCCCTTTTTGACCCACACTGAACAAGTTGCTATAAATTTATATTTACATACTAAGAGTCAGTGAGAATTATGTTCTTGGCTAGACATAGTCCAATAGTTTTGGTTTTATTTTGACCTTACCTTCAAGTGCATAAATCATGTATGTTCACAAATACAGCTGAGGAATGTTATACAGAATATATATTATATAGAATATTACATAATATACATAATTTCTGGGACCCATGTGATTCATTTTGATTATACCTTAGCATAACCATAGCATTATAACCTTAGCATAAAATTAGTAGAAATTTTTACTATTGGAATCAAAGTCTCATGGCCTGATACTTTCTCTCTCCATATGAGTGTTTTAATATTGCAATAGTTGGAGTCAGAAGTCTGACATTTTGCAAACCGATCGAAGTGTGAATTCCCGGTCCAGCTGTAGATTTTTTGGCGATAATTGATGGATGGGCAAAATTGCATCGTATTGGGTGCACAAAACTAGAAAAATCTATCTCAAGTGCTATTTTGATTTATATATAAATAAAATAAAGTGCGACATTAAAAGGCACTACTAAGTAACTTGAAAAAACATATCTATAATTTACTTGCAATAAACTTCTCCAGTTTTTTCCAGAACTGGAAAATAGTGTTTTTAGTCCCCAAAGTACACTAAAACCTAGCGATGACTATAAACCAAAGCATTCTGTATTTTCCATTGCAATAAGATGGCTACCCAAGGGAAGAGATCATTTACCAATGGAAGCGCAGCTCTGTGGAGGTGGGGGACACCAGATCCTGGAGGCTTTACCAGTTCTCCTTTACAGGATTGAGAAATACAACTGAGGTGGTGAAGACTACTTCAGGTAAGACAACTGATCTGTTTCCATTTAGATTCATTTAGGATTTTATTAACAGAAAGTAAAAAAAGAGATATCTGTTCAGAAGTTAACATTAGCACTTCACTGAACAATTACAGGCTTTTTTGGTTTTTTATACCTATGGAACAATCCAGGTTTTAGTATTTCTGAAGAACACCACACAGGAAGGAAAATAAGTTGTTTACTGTCCATTCCTGCCCCCCAAGTAATACTTAAAACTGTCAGGAGAAAGCTACAAGGGGTGGGTAGACAAGGGAACTTCCTATCCTGTTTCAGTGTAGAAAACAGCACAGCTGAACCACTAAATGAGAACGTGATACTGATTTGAATATTTTACAACCCCCTTCCAACTTCTAGTTGCAGAAAGTAGGTCTGCACAGAAATAAAATACGAAGTCCCAACCTCTTTACTACAGCAGCTCCAAGTTTATTTTGTTCCTTAAAACAGGGCACATTCAACTCTCACTAAAGAGAACAGCTTTACAAATCACTCTCGGATGATTTTCCTGCATATTTCTGTCTCCTTGGAAACAAGCAACGGAATTTAAAGTAATAAATGAGGAAGTACTCAACATTTAATAAAAATAGTGATTTTCACCCTACTAACTAAGTAGGAAAATACATACTTCTAGAAATATATATTGTTTTACTTCTCAGTGGAAAGAAAATCAGTGAATACGAGAAAGGATGTAAAGAGTAAATGCATATTGTATGTGCATGATATCCCTTGTCTTTGGTTTCTCCCCTTCAAGTTCATCAGTGAGATGAAAGCAGTTTTCTTTTCAGGTTGCTTTTGATTTTTACCTTATTTTCCTGTTCTGGCAAATATATTGATTTAAATTCAGACATCTGTGTTAATTCTGATTTAAGAAATATCCCCATCCATTTTATTTCCAAAAGGTGAGCTTTGTCGTTCTGTTCAAAAGGAGAGTAAGATATGCTAAAGTGGAGAGGAACCTGTTGTACATTACACTGGGGTGCAAACAAAGAGGTTGAGAATGAAATCAAGTTTCAACTCCTGAATCACTGGACATAAAGCACAAACTACGTGTTTAGTCTTATGAGCAGGACAAAAATGGAATGAAGCCTCCCAGCTGTAGCCACATTTGCCTTATGGCATCTTCTGCCATTTTAGCTGAGGAAGACATTTAGTCAGCTGTTCAAGAAAGCATTTGACCTTTCTCATTTTCCCAGGAAAATAAAAATAAAGGTGCAAAAGAGAAGAAAGCAGCGTGTGCACGAGCTGTAGCTGCTAATAACCACCATTACACATGGCATGGTAGAATTGCTCTTAAAGCAGAAATATAAACAGCAATACATCTCACCTCAAATTGCCTCTGAATAGGCAAAGCACAAAAGGCAGCAGCATACCCAAGCGTGGTCCAAGGTCTCAACCTGCTCAGGTTGAAAACTAACTTTATTTCAGCCTTAATTCAAGTTTCTTTTATTTGTTCTTTTTCTTTCCTTTTCTTCTTGAGCCATTCTCTAATAAACTTTTTTACTTTTTGGTCAGAGGTAGAAAGTAATAAAACCTTAACATTCTACAAGCTACAGATCCACTGATTCAGCTCAGCTTGCACTGGTGAGCCAAAGGCACATACTGGGAAATAAACAGTAAAAAGTAAAGTAAAAAAGATACTTTCCCATTCAAACAAATCCTTTTCTCTTTTCAGCCATTCAGGCTCACAGTGCTCACCTGCAGTACTACCATTATGTTGCGTCATTAGTTTTTAATATGACGACACACAGCAGCCCTTTTAATTTGCCTGAAGAAAAAGTAAATAGCAGCTAGCATGCACTTTAAAGCAGCAAAGAGTCATTCCAGCCATCACTAGATTCCTAAGATGAAATGCTTATCAAAGCTACTCAGCCTGCTGAGCTGCTTTCAAAGACCTGCTGAGTATACAACCTTGGGAAAATGTCCTGTGTATGTATTTCTTTTGCTGCAGTTCTCTCATGTTTGATTTTCCTTGCTCCTCTTGTTCTTATGACCACATATATGCAGAAAATTAGATTTGATTTTGACCTAGGTGCAGTATCTCAATACTCAGAAGGTGGGGAAAAACCAACAAAACAGGAACTGTCATGAATCTGGTCTGTCTCCTACAAGTATTTTGCTAAAGCTGGCAGAGCCTACAGAGTGCTTATTGTTCTACTTAAGTGCCTTATTAGCATGCTGGGAACTACATAAAGTCCACCATTCCTCAGCCAGACTCATGCTCTACTGATAATTACTCTCCTACATGCACACGTTTTCAATAGTTTCCCCAAAAGAAAAGATATTCCAAGCTTACAGATTTATTAGCACCCAATGCGCAGCCTGAGTACACAAGTTAAACATTGGAATGCCTGTATAGCTAAAATAAGTCTTGAGACTTTACGTAACTAATTGCAGCGCTGTGTATAATAGGATTTAGGTACCAACTAATGACTAATGCCAATGCTTTGGGGGGATATTAGCCAAGGTACAGTAGAAGAGGCAATGGGGAGATTAATAAGATGTTGGAAAAAGGACTATACTTCCAAGAACTCTTCCCCAAATATAAATTTAGATGACAACAGAAAACACATACACCTGAACACAAGAAGTGGGAATTAAAGAATATGAGATTGAACAGCTACAGGCAGAAAGAGCCTGGGAGTAGTATTAAGGCATTTGAAATTAGAGTAAACTTTCCATATCTTCATTTACTCCATTTCAAAACAAACTTTTGTTTCCAGCTTTGTGCCTTCCAATGACTAACATATTCTAGTCTTTGAGGGCTATGTTTCCTTCTTGATTGGAGGAGAGGAGAGGATCAGGAAGGATGGCTGAGACTTGGTCATTACAAACTCTGTTACCTTTCTTTCTGTCATGCTATAGAATGAGAACATTAAAGAATATTTGAGATCTGGGTTGAGTTATGGGCAGAGAACAACAACGATCGTTTGAGTATAAGCTTCATAAGATCTGAGGGACTTGCTGAAGTAACTACATTTATCTGCTGCTCTTCCCTTTCATGCATTGCAGAAATAAGATTAACTGAAAGGACAGATGTGGGAATTCTGTCCCTTATAATTTAGAAATCCCAATAACAACAGAAAAAAAGCAACTGGACTATTATAAACCATGTTGTCCATGTCTTATCTGAAGTGAGTCATCCAAAGTTTTCAGCTTGTTTCTCTCCAAACTGAACATTCACACGATTCATTTTCTTCAAAAGTCACAGACCAAGCACTAAGAGATTACTGAGCTAATGAAGTCCACAGCTGGTTAATAGTGGGGTCTTAAAAGAGTTAACTCTCAACCTTCTGCCCTATGAATGTTTAATTTCACTAAGATGACTAAGTAGTCTGTATATTTAATAACATATTACACATATGTATTTTTTTGCTTTCTCACTACAAACTATGCTGTATAAACAGCAGTGGTTTAGGTCAGGTTATTTGCAATAAATTGCATGTTAAGACATAATAACATATAAGTTATATAAACTACTACAGTTGACCTCACACACTTGTAAACTGAGATGGGTTTAAGATTTGTTGCATTATTAAGTCCATAATCTCTGCTCAAACAGTACATATCAATCATTTATTAAGAAACTACCATTTCTCTTGTGTGACCTTTTTGTTCATAGTAAAAGGCCCCATCCACTGAATGAACATGAGGTTCTCAAATGAAAAGAGGGATGAACTAATGGAAAAGTCTAGAGACTTTTTGCCAACTCCTGAAATTTGGAGGGATGCTGCTATGAGTAGTCCTTATAAAAAAATTATCAGATTTACAAAATCCTACTTGAAACCTAACGCTGAGGCTGAATAGGAAAGCCAGTTGCTTTACTGACATTTTCACAGTTCGTGTTATACTTAAAAACAACACCTTCAGTTATTTAAGAGTGTGTGATTTATTAGACATATGGTCTATACGTAGGACAAAAATTAGCTGGCAAATGTGGCTGAAAGGGGACACTGAAAAAGATTTGTATCTTACAATAAGCAGCAATAATAAAGAGAACAAAAAAATGACTGCTCTAGCACAGGGCATATTTTTCCATCCTCCATATTCTCATTTAGTATTGCACAATACATCTAATTCAAAATAATATCCGTTCTTTTTTGTTTTAAAACTATTTAATATCAAATTTCTGACCTTTTATATTCACTGTGGATTAAAAATAAGAAACAATTTAGGTTAGAAAATAGTCCAGCAAGTCCACCCCTTGTGAATCCTATCAGTGAATGCTGCTGTTCTTCACTTTTTGGATATCAAAATGAAAGTATTATAGAATTTAGCTAGAATCACATCTATTCCCTCAACTCAGATGCGACTAGTGAGATAGATAAGCTTTAATTGTTCTGATCAGTACTGCACTGCAACAAGTGATAGAGAAATATAAGATTTGCAAAATATAATGTAAAGCGGATAATGCCTATCCAGGACATGTTACACTTTGGGAACAGGAAAATGGGAAAACTCTGGATTCGTAAGCAGTTATTTAAAGAGGAAAAGATTGTAGGAAGGAAATAAGCAAGTGCACAAACATAAAAAAGAAGCAGTTTTTGTAAAAAATTCTGGAGACTGTAGTAGTCCATAAACACAGAAGGACAGCGAATGTGATACTGTTGCAAAAAAACCCCAAACAAACCCAAACCCACCTTTTCTAGGATGCATTAATCAGTGTTGTGTGTAAACTAGGGAGAAAAATCCACTGTCCTACTCTGAAAAACTAATGTTGAATGGTTTATTTAAAAAGTTCACTTTTAAGACAGAGGGGAGTGCAAGAGAGTATAGTAAGTAAAGGGTTTGGAAGACATGCCCTATGGAAATATTTGAAAGTATGGAACTAGTCTGGAAGAAAACATAACCAGTGATCAAAAAAATTAAGACAAACCTACTGGCTTTAAACTGTAATGATAACAGCACTGACACATAGTATTTAGGGAGATTGTAGCAACCCTAAAGTCAGATTTTTTTTTATAAGATCATACCTCAGACCAGGAGGA